TGGTGGTGGTGGTTGTTGCGGTGGTTGTAGTTGTGGTGATGGTGTTTGTGGTGGTGGTTGTCGTGGTGGTTGTAGTAATTGTGATGGTGGTCGAGGTAGCCATGTTGATGGTGGTGGTGGTTGTAGTGTGGTGAAGGACGGTGGTGGTTGTAGTTGTGGTGAAGGATGGTGTTGGTTGCAGTTGTGGTGAAAGATGGTGGTGGTTGGGGTGGAAGTTGTGATGATGATGGTGGTTGTAGTTGTGGTAAAGGATGGTGGTGGTTGTAGTTGTGGTGAAGGATGGTGGTGGTTGTAGTTGTGGTGAAGGACGGCGGTGTTTGTAGTTGTGGTGAAGGATGGTGGTGGTTGTAGTTGTGGTGAAGGATGGTGGTGGTTCTAGTTGTGGTGAAGGATGGTGGTGGTTGTAGTTGCGGTGAAGGATGGTGGTGGTTGTAGTTGTGGTGAAGGATAGTGGTGGCTGGGGTGGAGGTTGTGATGATGATGGTGGTTGTAGTTGTGGTGAAGATGGTGATGGTTGAGGTTGTAGTTGTGGTGAAGGATGGTGGCGGTTGGGGTGGAGGTTGTGATTATGATGGTGGTTGTAGTCGTGGTGAAGGATGGTGGTGGCTGCAGTTGCGGTGAAGGATGGTGGTGGTTGTAGTTGTGGTGAAGGATGGTGGTGGTTGGGGTGGAGGTTGTGATGATGATGGTGGTTGTAGTTGCGGGGAAGGATGGTGGTGGTTGTGGTCGTGGTCGTGGTGAAGGATGGTGGTGGTTGTAGTTGCGATGAAGGATGGTGGTGGTTGTGGTCGTGGTGAAGGACGGTGGTGGTTGTAATTGTGGTGAAGGACGGTGGTGGTTGTAATTGTGGTGAAGGACGGCGGTGGTTGGGGTGGAGGTTGTGATGATGATGTTGGTTGTAGTTGTAGTTGTGGTGAAGGATGGTGGTGGTTGGGGTCGAGGTGAAGGACGGTGGTGGTTGTAGTTGTGGTGAAGGATGGTGGTGGTTCTAGTTGTGGTGAAGGATGGTGGTGGTTGAAGTTGTAGTTGTGATGAAGGATGGTGGTGGTTGGGGTCGAGGTGAAGGACGGTGGTGGTTGTAGTTGTGGTGAAGGATGGTGGTGGTTGTAGTTGCGGTGAAGGACGGTCGTGGTTGTAGTTGTGGTGAAGGATGGTGGTGGTTGGGGTGGAAGTTGTGATGGTGATGGTGGTTGTAGTTGTGGTGAAGATGGTGATGGTTGAGGTTGTAGTCGTGGTGAAGGATGGTGGTGGCTGTAGTTGCGGTGAAGGATGGTGGTGGTTGTGGTCCATGTGAAGGATGGTGGTGGTGTTTTGGATGGTCCAGGTCTACTCACAGCGGGCGAGTGGGCTGGTGCTGGCAGCGGCGGTGATGGGGGTGGGGGTCGCTGGTCTACTGGGCGGGCAGAGGGTTGGTAGAGGACTTCTCGGGGACAGTCTTCTCTCCTTTGTCTCTGGAGTGGTGGCGGTGGTGGTGGTGATGGTGATGGTGGTGGTGGTGGTGGCCATGGTGGTTGTGGTGGCCGTTCTTCCCTTCTGTGGCCAGCTCACCTGGTTGTTGGGCCACAATAAACATACACACGTTCAAACGGGGGGTGGGGGGAGGGGGGGGGGGTAAATTGGGTTGCATGTATGTGTACACCAGGTGTCTCCTGCTAGACGTGCCATGGGGAAAATACATATTTATTATCTGCTCACTTTGGTGCCATTGTATAGGCCAAGTGTATTTTTCCCATGGTGCGTCGAGCGAGAGACACCCTGTATTATACAATCTGTCCGTGTACCCCATAGAGGTTAAACATGATCATTAGAATCGAACCTTTTTTGTGTTCTTAAAAAAGGGGAGAGAGGGTTCTGAGCTACAAAGGATGGACAAAACTGGGATAGTCATGTAATATATATATA